TACGTCAATGGAACCAAAAAAAAAACAAAATGACAATAAAAAAGTGCTCTCTACATTCTGGAATGTCCAGGATGTCCTTTGTCTATATATATATATATATCAACAAAATATTGATCCACATGTCAAACTGACAAAATTGTTTGGTAAATGTCACAAAAAATTAATTACTAAATCAAAAAAAAATAAATAAAAATGTTTGAAACCTTAGAAGAAGCCCTACAAAGGAAGTCTTTCGTCAAGCCCTCTAAATCCCGTTTCAGACGAAACCTGAAAAGGTCAAAAGTTACGAATAAAATGAATGATAAGCAACGTAACTGAAAGCCTTTAAATTTTAAGGGTGCGTTATTATTTCTTAATTATTTCAGTTAAACCTCTGCACGAAGAACCCGATTGGCTTCTAGCCGATCCAATACCCTGGTCCCAAAGGAAGAAAAAGAGCGCTTGCGGATATTTCCGGTGTAAGAGGGAGACAATGTGGAACAACTGGGATACAGAGTATCCCAATGACCTTTACACCCTTCTGTCTACAATAAACCAATTTTCTAACAAATTCATGGACAAATCGAGAGGAAAACAAACAATTTGCAACTGCGTTTGCGCGATTGGTAAGAGCGGGTCAAATAATTGATGGAAATCTATCCCATCTATTTTATTAGGGATGACGGTCATCTACAGCCTTTCCGAATGGAATTGTCCGATCATGGACTCCATACTGGTCAACGGCGATAACTATTTCTACACTTGTGTAAAAGGTATAGTGACTGAAAATTACGAACTACTAATGGACGATCTCGCACCAGACTGCACCATATTCCCGTACAACTTTAAAGTGGACTATTACCCAGTGGTAGATGGTACAATGTTCCTTATGGACAAGAAAAAATACAATCTGTACAAAGCTCTCAGATATTTCTTCGACGGCTATGACAAAAGGTGAGTATCGGATGTATTTAAAGTAGTAATGAGCAAAATTAGACCAAGACTGTCTCTATACTGGCAAGACTAAAAGCAATACCAACATTGGGACAGTCTTGATCTTGGTTTTGCTCTGCTCATCAAGGATGCACACTGTAACCACTACTTATTGAAGAAGCGATCAAGATCATTAAAGACAGTACAACTGTAGGGATAGATATACAGGGGCAAAAGATTAGTATGCTTAGATTTGCAGATCATATAGCAGTATTAGCATCTAGCAAGGAGGAGTTAGGGATAGCTTTAAATGGTTTGAGCCGGTTCATCTTTTTTGCTCCATGACCTCTTGCGTTTGACGTTGTTGTATACAACCCATTTTTCGTCCCCAGTGATGATGCGCTTCAAAAACGGATCATTTTCGTGACGTTTGAGAAGCGAATCGCAGACGTCAATGCGGCGACACAGATTTCTCTCTGTGAGAACATGGGGAACCCATACATCGAGCTTCGAGGATAATCCCAGGCCTTTCAAGTGGTCATAAACTGTTGAATTTGATAAATTTAACCTCAATCCGATCTCACGTGTTGTTATTCGCCGGTTCACATCAACTAATGCCTTTATCGCGTCTTTATCAGCTTCAACCGGCCTTCCCGAACGTGGTGCATCTTCGACATCAAAATTGCCGGATCGAAATTTAGCGAACCAGTTCTGGCACTGGCGTACTGTCAACACACCTTCTCCATACACATCAGTCAATTTCTTTCTGGCTTGAACAGCATTTTTACCCTTTCTGTAGTAAAACAGTAAGATATGTCGAAAATTCTGCTTATCGCTCTCCATATTTAAAAATGGCACCAACCAAAAACTACTGCGTAGAATTAATTGGAATTTTTCACACACAAGCCTTGCTATATGAGCTCTCAAAGCATATAAAAATTATACGGCTTAAATGTGAAGTTGGGTGCAAAAGAATGCAATTAAATCCTCTGTCGAGAAAAAACGAAATGACTTTCCGAACAACCCAATAGTTTTAGGGAAATGCAAAGATTAGCTCAGGATAGGATGGAGTGGAGATGCGTGTCGAACCAGTCTGAAGGCGTGATAGTCCTGAGAAAAAATTAATTAACAACTCGTATTCTAATCACACAGATGTGGAATCATATGTGCTATCCGAGGGGACATAAGAAGATACGTTGCCTTCGGAAAGATCCAAAACAAGGAATATTTCATGTTCGATAGTCAATCGTTTGGACCGCCGATGTTTCTAGAGCGCCAGTCGAAAGCCTACATGCTGAGATGCACCAGCTTCGCAAGACTCTTGCACGTACTTGTGGTGGCACTAAGAGGTGGTGACTTCTTTTTGTACAACGTCGAATGTAAAAACTTCCAAGCCATAGAATAACAATGTTCATTTCGCAATAAATAACAAGCAAAAAACAATAATTCGAGTCAATAATAAAGAACAATTAAATTAAGGTCAAGGAGAGTCTAATTTTTTATTGTTTCGGTGAAAAAAGGGACTTCCCAATCAACGCTTAAGAATATACCCACAAAGTAATGGTCTTGTATCGAATTTTATTGGAACTACGAAATACCCACTGACGTTAACATTGCAAATGTATTTCGCTAATGACAATGACTACATCAAAGTCCAGGTTATACGTCTGCAATAATTAAAATATCAAATTTCTTGGACAGACAAACAAGTCCAATTGACGCGAACATTTTTAATATAATTATTATTATTCGTATTTTCGGTAGATATTAAAATTTAACCTTCTTATCTGATGAAAAATTTTCGAGAAACGAAATTTAAAAGGCGATTTACCATATGATATTTAATAAGCAAATCAACTTGTCGCTAATTTCCATAAAAAGCACTTTCAATAAATCTAATAGCGGATCTTATAACTTTATACTTTTAATTAATGATGGACTACAGCAACATATAATTGATTGTACAGGTAATACCAATATATCTGTTAATTTTTTTTGTTTTCCATTTTACGAATTATTATTTGCGTAACCGAATTGAAAATAGAAATTATCAAAATTATTGTCAACTATATATATGTATAATTAGTGGCAAGATTAATGTAACCTAATTTAATTTTAGGAGCGTGTTGATCATTAGCATGAAGTTTTTGCTTCATTACGTAATTGGTCATCAGTACAATCAACTTAATTGTCAAAATTCTGACTGTTTCAAACTGAAAAATGTTGCGTAACTTCGATTTACGACTTTGAGTAAAATATAGATCATTCAGCCATCCGTTTGGATGCATTCCATGTACTCTTCCTCATGTATTCGCGTGTTTATAATTATGCAAAATATGTAATAATGGAAATTATTTGAATTATAATCACATTTAATTTGCTTATTAAGATTTGAAATTGCCGTTCACGCGCAGACTTAAAATTGCATAATTAAGCGATAAAGTTTGTGCCGAAATAAAAACATCCGATTCTTTCTTTGTTTTATTTATCATTTTCCGGGGTATCAGTAAAATAAAATGCGCCGTCTGCCATTAAAATAAAACTACATGCATACATTGAAACACTAAACACATGAGCAATAATCAAACTGGTCACTCAGTGTCGCCTCATCAGTAAGAGCTGCTATACTATCTAATTATTATTCATATTGTAATTAGTCCTTATTGTCCACTTTGAAAAATCTGTTGACCAACGTCGAATTTAACAACTGGCCCCTAATGGGCGTAAAAAAAGATTTTAGGCCAAGGTACATTTCCTCAAAATTTTCCGATATCTTTTATCTTGTTATTAGAACTTTAGTATCAATTTGAATTTGCCAGAGATTTCACGATCTCATCATGGCTTAACATATTATCGAATTTTTGGAAAATTCAAATCGATACCAAATCTAAAATAAAAACCAAACTGTCTGTATCAACTCCAGGATAAATGCAACCTTCCTAACCTGTTGGCAGACGGTAAAACTCCTTTTAAAATACTTAATTATACGGTGTGTTTGAATTGAATAAAATAATTCGAAGTGGTCTGTATTCTGTCGTAACTGCCAGACGCGGATCGCGATTTCGATTTTTTTGGATCTCATCAGCGCGTCGCAGGCAGCTCCGACAGAACACAGACCAACTTGTACCTGCTGTCTTAACAGCGCGTTTTAGAAAACACCACAAATGGCGCGGTAAACGCCATCTGTAGTACGATGTTACATTTTAGGATTACGTATGCTCCAACAAGGTCCATTTAAATATATGGATATCTACTTGCTGAAACGAATCCCGGCGTAGCTAACCTCAACGTGAT